CATTTGAGGCCTCAGCTTGATCCTGTTGACTTCAGTGGGAGCATAAATTGATCCTATCTTTTAAAAAAATACAGACCTAAATTATACATACAAAGACCTCCTCCTTTTTTCTTTTTACATTTCCACCTGCACTTGCGGATGCAAAGATCTGTTTATGCATCAGAGAAAATCTATTATCCATACACACTCTTTGCTTGTAGCCAAAGCCAGCACTTGCATTGATGCTACACTAAGAAATGCATATAGATTTTGCAAAGATGTTCCTGGCTGCAAAATACAGGCACAGGTATGCTCATAGATGCCAGTTAAAAACCACCCCCCAAAACTGCCCCTGAACCTCTGAGTAGCATTTAAAGGATGTTAAGAGCTAACACCTCCATCCATTACTCATTCCAGATACTCCCTGACATCCCACTCATTTAGGTCCATAAAAATGTAGGGCTGCATTTTAAATATCAGCACATTTTTAAAAGGCTTTCGATTAAGATCTAGAGACTCATTCAATGTCTAAACACTGTAGAAGAGGGACTTGAGAGCATTTTGGTAGGTTATAAAGAGCCTCCATAAATACAGACACATCAGTTTGTCTTCCATACTGATTTCTATACCATGTAAATTCCTCTACACTCCCCAAGTTTCCACCATGGGCTGTAATAAAGAAAAAGGTATCTGCTGCAAAAAGTGCAAAGTATTATTGAAAAGGCCTGCTTGCATTCTCTTCAGGAGCCCAAATTCCGGCGTGCAGAATAAATAAAATATAAGAATAAATAAAAATGTCAGAACCCGGTAGGAAAGTTGTACAAACCCATCGACATTGCTGAATTATTTTTTCTCCATCCTGAATAGCAACACAAGTCAAGATCTTGAAAATGTTATAGAATCACAATGCAGAAAAAAGTTTCACCTCAAGTTTCACTGAAATTGTTTTTAAATGTACTTGCATACCACCAGTTCCCCCAAAAAACAGCTCTCCAAAATTGTCATGACTTAAGAGGGGGACTGATTTTTCTGTGCTGGAATAGAAGCATGGAGATGCTGTATTCCAATGGCTGACAGCCTCTTTCAGGCAGCAAGTACAAACTGAGGATGCCAAACTCAGTATGTAGATTTAAAAAATTGGTTTTGCAGTCTGCATCAAGAAAAACATTTCATTCAAATTTGTGAATAGTACTTCATGTAATAAATTCAAGGGTTTTTTTTAAACAAAATAAATTGGACAGAACATTATGAAATGCATAATACAGAATGATCTTCAACAGACATATAGACTAGGGCTTAGAGACACAAAGATAGTTAGCAAACTCATTCATTTTAGTATGACCTGAGAACGTTTAAAAGGATCAAAAGCCAAAAAGGAAATAAGCCTGATTTATAAGATCGTCCATTTAAATGAAGACTATACTGAATTGTTTTAAGGAGGCACAGATAAATTGGAAAACTTCAAACAAAACCTCTAAACCTTACAAAACAAAGCATGCAAAGTAAAGTGAAAAAGAGAACTTAGGTTCAAGTTTATATGAAATTAAAAAATGGAAGAATCGGAGACCAATCAAATGTATTTTTAAGCATCTGACACTTAAATGAGAAGCAGCTCCTGCTTAAATCCCATAATTACAATTAAATTACTTATTTATGCAGAAATATCTAGTGTGATTTTAAGTACCCCCTTTTTTTTTTAATGGTGGATTCAGAGTCATGCTATGGCCCTTTTAATTAAGTTTGCTGAGCAGTTAACTCAGCTGCAGATTTGTATACACTGCAGTGTGACTAAAGGAGTCTGGCTGTTAAGAGAACAAGTCAAATGCATGTGGAGCATTTCCTAACAGCAGTGTTCAAAACAAATGTTTTCATTCTATTTCTCTTGAAATCTGCTGTTGAACCACCCCATGCTATATAGACTCATAATATCTCATTGCTAGTAATGAAACCCCTCAACACCAAAAATATGCTTTAAAAGTCTTCTAAAAAAACTGAGTCTCTTAAATAGTGAATGGTGTTGCCTAAGTTATATAAAGAGTTATATAAAGAGCCCTCTTCTATATGAATCCTATACTTGCATGCAAGTAAAGTGCTTGTACCTGTGAAGGAGAGACCACTCAAATAGAATGCATTACAAAATAAAAGCTTGGATCTGCCTACTTTATTCAGGTTGCATAGAATTTGCATGACAGGACGCCACAGTTTAATAATATGATTATTTTCGCAATAAGGTATTATTCAAGTTTAATAAGGGTGGGGGAATTTGACTTAAATCAATAATCTGTCAGATTGTCAAGAGAATATTTGTATTTAAAGAATGCAAACAAATGTCACTGCTCCTTGTGGCACGCCTGCATTTTTTTATTTTTTCTGTTTTTCATTATACAACACAGATCTCAAGGTTAAAAACATGCGTTTAACAAAAAAAATAGCTCCAGTTATTATTTGTACAGCATGGATTCACAGCTAAGGGTACCATTAAAACCCAGATTCTACATACATTTGTGCTCATGTTTAACTTTCTTGCACTGTTAACTAGTGTCACTGAAGGTGACTGTAGGGTTGCAATAAAGCAACTAGATCAGGGAACACAAGACAAATAGAAGTCTCCTTGGTTCTGCAATATTTAAAAGACACCAGAGCATCTGGCACACGCTTTTACTAATGCAAAAGAGAAAGCAGCGATGAGAATCATCAAACTCTGAGCCAGACGTGGTGCAGATTTCTTCTTCAAAGTGAGCTATCTCTGTCTCCTTTGCATTATCCTCTGGTACAGCCCATGAAAATTTTTTGGTAAACCCTGCACTGATATTTCCTCTCAAGTGAAATGACCACCCCAGCGAAGGCATTTGATAGTGTACGTGGATGTGTGTGCGGCGGGAAAGGAGGCAAAACAGCTTGGCTGTGAATGACATAATGTAACCTAGAAATCTCTCCATGTAGCACAAGCAGTGGTATCCAAACCAGAGCAGAGCAGTATGTCAATGTGATTCTGGTGTATGCTATGGGCTAGTCTGGGGGCTAGGTTATCTTTTTTTGTTTTTGCTCCCAAAAAGCACTCCACAGAGCACAGTTCTCTCTGCATAAAAATATGGAAAGCAAGTGGTCCCTTGATGGACACAAGGAAAAAAAGAGGTTTCTCTCAATGCTTCATTGTGATAAAATGTGAGATTAGGAGATAAACTGTCTCTTGAGGTAAACTAATGGGACCATTTTTAATATGTGTGGGGAGGCAAAGGAATGGCATGAACAGACCTCAGACTCCCTTCCCCAGGTCACCTGGATAGTAGCACTTCTCCAGCCTCAGCCTCTACTCTCTCCTCTCATCTCTGGCTTTTTCCTCTACCCAAAACAAATGGTCTTATGAAAGTTTATGCCAATTTAAAAATTAAAGGTGAAAAGAAATAAACACTTTGCAGAACTTCCCTTCCAAACTCACTGGTCACAACCAATGGTCCCAAAGCACAGAGGTGTCCTGGATAGAGGGGAGATGGATAGAGGTGAGATGACCAAACAGCCACATCCAGGGAGCTTTAAATACCAAAACCCATCTTTACGCAGATGTCCCCCCAACAAGATACTTCCAACAGGGCACCAGCAATACCAGCCTGTTACTACCAAAGCAAGGATTTCAGCAGAATCAAACAGCACACATTCAGTCAGGAGTGGAATGAGGCCAAAGCAGTAATGTATTTTGCCTTCATTTCTCTAATAAAACCCCAGTGGAGTTGAGCCAGTGCAGCCCAGAGGCAGCAGCTGTTCTGGAGCTGGCTATTGTTTTGTGTCTAACGTTTCAAGGACCCAATCCAACTCTCACTGAAGTTAACATGACTCCCACTCACTTTAATGGGGCATAGATCAGGCATGGCATTGCATAACCACTGAAAACAACTAGCAGTGGTGCTTATACACGTCCCTCTTCCTCAGCCCATCCTCAGTTGATCATTGGCCCTGTTCCTAGAGCAATCTGTGAGCAAAGTATATTGGCCATCAATATTCTACTAGGCCTGCTCATCCTTTTTATCTACCCTGGATTTTTATTGTACCCTGTACTAACTGAGCCCTACCTAGGATGAATTGCTATTTGAATTGGACACGTTACCCAATCTAGGTAAGACTGCCTGAGTTTCCTGGGAACCAGAAAGAAACCAACCTCAAAACCTGCTCCAAGTTCTCCTGGTCAATGAGCTGTTAATAGTCAATAGATTACATTTTATCAAGCAGCTCCTCTTGCCTGAAACTCTCATATTGCTCTCGGGGAATATCATGACTACAGAGGCATCATGTTGAAACAAATGTGAAATCTTAACATTTTAAGTTACATTTAAAGCTCCCTCAGCTCTGGATCTGGAGCAGCCTTTTTTTTAAGTGTCAGCAGTTTCAAATCCTTTCTGATCTACCATGGGAAGGTTTTAGGAAGCCAGTGGGTGTACACCTAGCCTTCTATTGTTCAGAAACTGCTTCCTAATATTTCAGGATGGAAGTTAAATGGGAGGATGTTTACCCAGCAGTTGCTAAGTACTCAGCTAAGCATGTGGAGAAACTCCTTGTTTTTCATCCAAGAAGCACTGATCTGAATCCCAGGGAGAGGGCTGCTGTAGTGGATCTTTGTACAGACTCTGAGTAAATATGCTGCATCTCAGGACTTGGGGGATAATTTGCAAACAGCAAGGAAATGTGTCCTGTCACCCCATTCCTTTGCATTTGCTTGCTAGTTGGGCAAGCAGAGTTGTCTGTTTAAACAGTTGATTTCCCATTCTTTCTAAAGCCATCAACTTACCCAGGGACACACACACACATAGACACACACCGGGCTCAAGCATGACCTTTATAAAAGCTGAAGGGCATCCTAATTCCACAGTGCATAAGGAGGGGAGGGGGGATGGAGGGGGCTCTGCCTTCACTTGTGCCCTGCTTGCGTTACGAAATGCAGGCACGGATCCCAGGAACTTGCAGAGCCTGCCATCAAAAACAAGGCACCCGGGCGCGGCAAATGCAATGAAAAACGGAGAGGATCTTACCTTCCGGACCCCACTAAAGCCATATTCTGTAGCAAGTTGCTTGGCTTCTGCCTCTCCCCCTTGATGCAACTCAACCCAGAACTGATTCGTGTACATGGCCCTGTCGGCAGAGGCAAACAGAAGGACCCCCAGCAAGAAGAGGAGCCCGGCGGTCTTCCACTGAGCCGTCTTCATGGCTCCGTGGCGGCGAGATGGGGCTGGGGGCTGAGGGACCACCCAGAGGGGGATCCAGCGGGAGGGCAGGCAGGGAGCGGAGGGAAGGGCTGAGCGCGATCTGCCCTGCCTGCGGGCTGGGCTGGGCTGCCCCGGAGCCGATCCTGGGGCGTGTGCGCGCGTGTGTGAGTATGCGTGTGTGCGCGCGCGCGCGTGTGTGTGTGT